TGTTTTTTGTTTTTTACCCACAGGTACAGATGACGACTGACAGAACCCTTTCTACGATGTTCAAATTATTGTTCAAGTAAGTGTAAACAGGGTAGCAAAATCTCAACGTTATTTATTACACATGACGATTTGACATTTTCGGTGCAGATTTTAGCAAATGGACACATATGATTTGCTTTCGCGGGCCACATAAAATGACCTGGCGGGCCGGATCTGGCCCCCAGGCCTTGACTTTGACACATTTGGGTTAGAACATCCTGAGGTTCTGTGTCTTCTGTTTTTTGTGCGGGTTTTCCTCTCAAAAACAAGTTTGGTTAAGTGAAGACTAAATCATGAATAGGTGTGAATGTGAGAATGAAAGTTTGTTTGTCTGGATGTGCCCTACGATTAGGGGTGCACTGATGAACTGAATAATTCAACGTATTTGACTATGAAAAACGCTGAAGCAAAGTCTCAGCATCGAAGCTTCGCTGGGATAATTTTCACGTAGGGATATATTTCCGTACGTACTAATGTTGCTACAGTCACACGCAACACTCCATGTAAATTGCTTGTACTTGTGTGATATTGCATGCGTGCTATATCTATTTTACATGTGCACAGGATCTTTTAACATTATGACATCACTTATACAGGTGCGCACAGGGTGCAAGCGTATCGTGTTACCTCGACACATGCACATGCTCTCTCCTCAGCTTTTTGGAGCTGAAACACTTTGTTGTTGTTGGGGAAATGTTGTCATTCATCAATCATGTGTGTGAGACAAATAGCTGAAAGAGCATTTATTGGTATGATCAGCGATGCTGCGCTGACATTATCACCCGCTCACCCCACCCCTTTACTGCCTTGCATTCCTGCTGGCCATATCCATGAAGGCATGCGGTCCACTCGGAATGATTAATAGTCACAGCGTTTCGGAGCCATTGCTTTTCTTGGTCCACTCAGAAGCACAAGATTGTATCTTCTTCTCTGCATTCTGCTGCGTTCCATCTTGTCGCTTGCATGATTTGTCTGTAGTATAGGGAAACAAGTCACGCGCTCTCAAATTAGTAGTGCAGACACATCCGTTGAATGTTGGTGTGAATAAATGTAGTTTACTTCGGTCGTACATTTTAGGTTAATACGGCTCGTAAATGTGAAATGATCGATCTATCCCTTGTTGTTTTTACATCCATCCATCCATCCAATTTCTATAAAACTTGTCATCAATTATTCACACTCCAATTCAGAGGATAAAGAATATATGCCTGTAAGTATTATGATATCGTCTGTCTTCATGTCTTGTTGCAATGTTTGGGTACAGATATCTGTTGCTTCACCTAAGGGTTATAGCACTATGACACTCGATGCTATTCATTAGCTCTACGATAGCACTTTGTATTGTGTGTTACTAACACAGCTAAGGGTTATAGCACTATGACACTCGATGCTATTCGTTAGCTCTATGTTAGCACTTTGTATTGTGTGTTAGCAGCTGTTAGCATTAAGCTAGTGGACTTTCCTAAATCAAAGTTATGCATTTGTTTTAAATACACAACTCGTAATTGTCTTTGTTTAACAGTAAACTCCAACTCGGAGTGGGCAGAAACAGCTTGAAGCCAATTTCTGGGAAGAATTACTCACTATCTGCCAAATTGATGCTTGTTGTGGTGTGTCTTGAGTTGCTTTTTCCACGTACATCCGGAGGTCATTTTCGGTCATTTTTGCTTGCAAGTCAAAGCTAAGTTTAGCTGTGCGATAGCCCGAAAGCAAAGTATGAGCAGCTGCTTCAGACTTAAAACACTCAGCCATGACCACCAGGCAGACGGAGAATGAACAGTTTCTCTCCTTGCAATTTTTATGGCAGTATGTTTTCCTCTGCGTCCGCATTGAAGAAGTGACAAAATCGGCGATAGACTCGACATTAGCCCAATATAGAAAGTGTCCACATGTCGTTTGAGCTTTGCGCAACCTCTGGTAACTCATCCAAAGATTTGATCTGGTAGTCAGTAATGAGCCGTGGTGCTGTAATGACGCTCGCATATGTTGTTCATATGTCGCTCATTTGCATCTCAGTGGGGTTGAAATCCATTGATGCTTGCCGCGATCACTATTGCATCAACGCCGCAATGTAAAGAGGCATTTTATTTGCATATGGCGTACACTCCCTGTCGAGTTGCAGCCAGTCAGCACATACACCGAGGGCTCCCTGTCGAGGAGGACCAGCAGACTCCACTTGAGTGCGGCTGCCACTCCAGGCCTTGCTGAGCCCACTTTATTGGTTGCAGTAAAGCTGCAACGTTTCAACTATTCTCACTCGCTTCGAACATTCAGAATCTTTATTGTGGCGATATTTCAACATGGGGGATCACAAAGGACTTGGAAGGCTAATAAAAACGACGATTTATTGTCAAATTAGAACACGTTAGTCGCGACACCGACACATCTAAAGAGATCACCAAAAGAGTCATAGCAAAATTATATGAAATTCTGCCATTGCTTTCCAAATACTGACGCGGTTGTAGTTTCCTGCTGTATGGAACTGCGCTGCTCAAACAGACTATCCTTCATTCCGTCTCTGCAGTGCTTATACAGAAGCCTACAAAGTGTGTTCACTTGCTGCTGGTCCACAAAGCGACCCTGATAGTACGGTCAATGGACCCTCAACAGCTGATGAAGATGCCGGACGCACGTCGGAGGAGGAAGACGCAGGTGGCGAAAGCAACTATGATAAACAGGTACATTTGGACAAATTATGAATTGTAATTTCATTGAAATGTATTCCAGAGAGCAGCTAGCACAGTTGTGCACATAGTCCTGGTCATGTCACATGTTTATGTGATCACTTGTTGCTAGGCAAGCCAAACAAACATTTCCATTCTCAATTTGGGCCGACTCATTCGGAATACGGGATGTGGAATTTGCCTTAAATTGTGACTTTACAAGATGGCTGACTTGTTGTTCCATTTCAGGAAAGCCAAAATGCATTTGCTACTTGGGTGTCGTGCATGTAACACGATGAGGTTCTAATCCATATTACAACCCTTTACAGGTCGACGGTCGATCCCGAGCTTTTTACATCGCAATGGATCTACTCGACACTGAGAGACTGTAAGTTACCTAATCATCATTCAAACTCAACTGCTCAACTCAATCTGTATTTTTCTTCTTTTTAGACATGTGAAAGCACTCAAGCTTCTCCAGGAAGTAAGTGATGGATCCATTCATTTCTTTTCTCTGGTTTTAAGGACCTTTTTTTTAAATTTTACTTTCCTCCCCCTCTGCTTAGAATGCACAGTGTCAGAAATTGCCAGTATAAATCTGCTTTTTCCCTTTTTTTTAACTTTGTTATCATTAAGGGACATTTGAAAAGACTCATTGCCAGCGTTAACGTCATTTTCTTAATGAGGTCTTAACGAGTCAGGTTTTTTTCACTTCCTTTTTTAAAAAAATTCTGCTAGTTAGCTTAATGAACCAGACTCTGCAGCAGATAAATGAAGTGAAAATACGCAAAAGAATATTGTGCCTTAATTGGACATTTCTTAATGAAGAGGGTGTACATTTTAAAAAAACAAGTCACCCCTCGTGCCACAGGATTTTCGGGAAGCAGTTGGCACTGCAGCGACGGATGACGGAGAGCCTGCTTTGGATGAAAAAAGACTTTGTGAAATTCTCAATGAGCTGCCTGATATTTACCTTCTGCACCGCACAATCCTCACCGAACTGGAGAATCGAACTCGGCAGTGGTGAGGAATTAACGCACGTCTCCATTGCAGATACTCAGAGAGCTTGACGCACACTCCCTCTTCTCCTCTGTCAATGTAGGGAGGAGAGCCAGAAGATCGCAGACATCTTCATCTCCAGGAAGGCGGAGTTCTTGCTCTTTACCACCTACATCGGCCACTACGACCGAAGTATGAACCTACTGGAGGAGAGCTGTCGAACCTCAGCTGCATTTGCGGCCATCATCCACCAGTTTGAAGTCAGTACATCGCTGACACGTAACACGCGAGTCCTTCATTTTAGCATGCATGAAGCAAGGTTCATGTTTGGATGAGAATCGGGTGCAATACCTCAACCTCATCAAACATATTGGGGTGAACTAGAACAGTGGTGCCCAACCACCGGGCCGCAGACTGGTACCGGTCCTGGGTCATTTGATACAGGGCCGCACAGAAAGGATAAATAACTTACATTACTTCCGTTTTATTCATTTCGGAATCTGAAAGATGTTTTATTTTGAAAAATTCTCTGTTACATCTATCTCCAGTATGTCACTCTTGACGCGGGTGAAGGCGCGCATCTCGGTTACGTGATAGGTTACCACTAAAATGAAACCTGGGAGCTAGCAACATGAGTTAAAAACAAAGGTCTTGGAAATTTTTTTGGGGGGAAGGGCAAAAGGCCCAGGCAGGAGACAGAAAAGGAGCCTATGACTTTCAAAGAAAAGAAGGGAACATTTAATAGACAGTATCAGGAGTCCTACCTAAAATACGGATTTATCTCAACGGGAGATTCCCACGCACCAAGCCCGTATTTTTCATGGACTTTTTATCTGCGGTCTATCTTATTTTGAAGGCACCTTTAAACTTTACCATAGTGACTAAAGAGTGCTGCGGCCAGATAGGACAGTTCTTGTGTCATGATGCGTGTTTATTATGGTTAGAAAATACGACAATTTTCATGCAAGACACATTATCTTGTTGGATTTATCCGACCTTGAAGGCCGGTCCCTGAAAATATTGTCCGACATTAAACCGGTCCGTGGGGCAAAAAAGGTTGGGGACCGCTGAACTCGAACATACTGTATCCTGTGAACATGAAATGATATTGGGGTGACACAAGACACTCACGCTACTATGGACTTGGCTAACATGTTTCTGGCAGCAAAAGAAAAGAATAACTAGGGAGGTACAGGGGGGAGAAAGGGAAGTCATATTCTCAGTTGGAAGACTGATATAATATCTTATAATTATGATTTAGCATTAGGTCCACCACCAATAACAAAGCTTGGACTATGTGTAGATTTAGTTGTCCTTAAAGGATTTAAGAAGATATTGTGTGTGGTAAAATACTGAGTTTCTACCAGCAGGTAAAAAAAAAAAAAAAAAAACTTTTTTTTTCTTTCTTTTTCTGGCAGAAAGCTCTGGTAATTGGAAGATGGAGGGGAAAAATGTCGTACTATCACACTTTCACTATTTGCAACACAGAACATCCATAAAATGAAGATACATTTTAATTGAGCAATTGTAGGCAAAATGGCAAAAACACAACCAGGCTGCATTAAACAACATAGACGGCCATTTGTGCCCCTCCGGGGGCCATATTTTGCACACCCCTGGTGTAGCACCTACATAACAACACAAAGTTCAACCTTCGTCGGTACACAAAAAAACTCTTCATTGAATTTCCTCCAGACCGTCAAAGGGCAGCACTCAGCTGTGTTTTTTTTTCCCTCCTTGGTTCAGTAACACCTTGCTTTTAACGCAGTTGACATTTCGACGTCCGCGTGCATACTGACTTTCCTGTGTTGTAAAGGTCTTTTAACCATGAAGAATGGCCTAAAAAAAAAAGAACTCCCCTTTTTTTTTTTTTCTTTTTCTAGCAGAAACGAGCTCCGGTAATTGGAAGATGGAGGGGAAAAATGTCGTACTATCACACTTTCCCTATTTGCAACACAGAACATCCATAAAATGAAGATACATTTTAATTGAGCAATTGTAGGCAAAATGGCAAAAACACAACCAGGCTACATTAAACAACATAGACGGCCATTTGTGCCCCCCCCCCCACCCCCCAGGCCATATTTTGCACACCCCTGGTGTAGCAACCTACATAACAATACAAAGTTCAACCTTCCTCGGTACACAAAAAAACTCTTCATTGAATTTCCTCCAGACCGTCAAAGGGCAGCACTCAGCTGTGTTTTTTTTCCCTCCTTGGTTCAGTAACACCTTGCTTTTAACGCAGTTGACATTTCGACGTCCGCGTGCATACTGACTTTCCTGTGTTGTAAAGGTCTTTTAACCATGAAGAATGGCCTGTCACTCCCTTGCTACCTTTCTTCTACCCCATGCAGCCCTCTCTGCCTTTATTCTGTGGCACACAATACCGTCCGCAAGAAATCCGTTATCATCTGAAGTTTTGAATTTTGTCACAAAGGCGGACGCAAATGCAAATACGAATGACAAATGAAATTCGAAGGCATCCGAGTCTCATTGAGGCACAGTAAACACTCAGCAGCTTTTAGAGGAACTGTCTACCACTCTGACAATGTCAGTCAAAATTGAGCATTTTTTTTT